TCAACACAAAATGCCAAAACGAAATTAATAGTCCTTCTCGGCAAATTTCCCCTTTGGACTAAAAGAGCGGCAGCTCTTTCCATCCACTTAGAAATATTGTTGGAAGCATGGCAGGAAAGTTCGATTCACATTTTTGTAGAGAACATTCCTTTCTCCTCCCATGTTAAGAGTGAGTTTAATTTTTATCATTTTTCAAATTTTTAAATTTTTTTAGCTCACAATTTTATTGTCAGCTCTATGTAGAGAGATTTTAGGTAATCTCAAAATTACATTTAAAAGAAATCAATCGAGAAAGTTCGCAGTTTCCGCTCTTCTGTCGACCGTCCCATATCGCACTTGATTTTCTAACCATTCCAGTAGTAAGCCATCGTACTCTCGCGGCGGAAGTGACGTCACAGAAAAGGAGGCGTAGTCTACGCCATCTTGGATCATGTGACAACCGGAAGTGATGCAGACGGAATGACGTCATGCATAGTTTCGTTTTTATGCTTTAGTGGCAACGAGAACGTTTTAAAAGTTTTTAGTTGCAATGACAATATTTTTTATGTTTATGGCAACGAGCTCTTGGGCCACGTGTTTGGAATGACGTCATCCTTTCTTGTTCGCACATGTTGTCTTACAAAAATGGAGTCTGCCGTATCACACCTTTGTATGCTTCCGCTTAGATGTATGGAACCATTTCTGTGGACCAAACAGATTCTTTGAAACATGACCTCACCGTCTTTTAACCAATCACCGTTCGATGAAATAAAGGGTTCCTACGTAATAAAGGTAAAATCCTTATATTAGGTTCCTTATATATATCCTTATATTAAGTTCCTACCTAATAATATTCCTGTATTTTACTAAACCTCGGCTAAAACGTCAACCAGTTTCGAGGGTCTCCATCAAACTTCACCAGTTCGATCTCTGGCAGTTTCTGTTTTGCGGCCGTAACTATTCCTGATGAAGAACCGCTATTCGTTGAACCGATAGAAGGCTGTGAACACTTATCTTTTTTTCTGTTGGCTTTTACTATCAACGTAGATAATTTATTATCATAATAATATTCTTGAGCTGCACTAAATTTCCTTTCGTATTCTTCTTGAGTACAGCCTTTTTTCTGTAGAAGTTCCAAAAATGAGTCATCCGTATTTCGTAAAGTGTTATACTTCTCTGAAATTTAATCTAAAGAAATTCCTAAATCGTCCAAATCCGGAGAATCTGATCGTATCAGGTCTTTCAACTTATTCGCTGTTTTCGTAAATGCAGTCTTAATTGCTTTCCTCTCCTGATTTGCTATTTCCAAATCCTCCATGTTTGCACTTGGGAACTTCTCCGTTACTTTCGTAAATTATATAAACAATCAAGTGTCGAAATCGATAATGTCATCCTGGCTGGCTCGCCAATTATGTTGCTTAATAAGTAACTTACAGGTTCGAAAAAACTGAGCCGACACTTTAAAAAAAAAACCAACATTTATTTATCACGCCATTTCTTATTCTACAAATTTTTTAAATGCAACTATTTTTCAAACAGAAAAGAATACGTAGACGTAATGCATCTGCACACGTGATCCTCGTAACAGACGAATTCATTATGGTTGCTGCGTCTTTGTGGGATACAGCATTTACAAGGGAAAAGTGACTGTGCACATCCGAAGGTATGCCAAGGTAAAGCTGACTATCCGACAAGACGTGGAGTGAATTTTGAACCATGGTATTTGAATGTTCTCGCAACCAACAAGACCTGCTGACACTCAATCGGGAATTGCCCAAGAACTTTGTAGTCGCATATAAGGATTCCCACTTCACTTTGAAGCAACTCTGTCCTGGAGGAGATGAAAAAAGTATCCTCAGCTACGCATATAACTACGCAGTAGAAAGAACTGATGACCAACTTTAGCCGTATCAGTGATATTGTCACCAACCTCGTTTATCAAAACATGAACTTCCGTGAAGCCTACGAATGCATATCCGACGAACCTGTTAAGGAGGAAAATCTGCCCCAATTCTTCGACATTTCTATGTGTCACGTCTCCAAATTATTCTAAAGACGTCGCATGGAAAGCTATTCAGTTACCAATAAAAACTGAAATATCCCAACCTTATAGACTGTGAAGAACTCGTTCATAAAACAAACTGTGAATGCCATTGCTCTGAGATTTAATATTGCTGACATCGCCAGACAATTTTACTGAAATATTTTGGGTGAAGAATCTTATTTAATGTTACTCATGCCTGCTCACTACATTACCAAGGGCTTTTTAAAATCTGTGTGTTTAAACCATGTACTCAACGAAGTAAGAAACACATTTTGTACTACGAATGGTGCCATAGGTATAGAATACTATGAATATTTGTAAAATAATTATGGATGCTCAATAAAATGTTATTTTATTTTACAATGGTCATGACTGTCTCCAGGTTAAGACCTTATTTAAAATAAAAAAATATTTAATCTGTAATTAACACTTACATAATTTTTTAAAAATACCTATTTAGTACAAACCTATTGATTTTTGTAGAGTATAAATATTGTTCTTAAACATATACTACATCATTACTTTTTCAACCTCTGAGATGTTAAGTAGCATTCATTTTTCTCTCTTGTACATGTGTCAGACCTATTTCTAGAATCTTCATATTGACTATTAGAAACTCTGGTTTTTTCCGTTCTAGTTAAACATATATAAATGAATATCAGTGTACGATTAGATCACAACTGTTGCAATGAACGCAGCTCTGGCTCAGACCTATCGTGATCCAGGTGTCCCCGCAAGTTTTGGGGGTGTTGCTGCTTTGCATCGTGCTTTAAAAGGTTGCGTAAAAACAAAAGACGTACAGAAATGGCTGCAAACCAAAGATTCTTATACTTTGCACAAGTTTCTCAGGAGCACAGTCACCATAGGAGGCTTAAATGAAAAATTTCAATCTGATTTAGTGCATATGCAATCCCTGGCCTCTTTAAATGATGGATACAAATATTTGCTGACCTGTATAGATATCCTTTCCAAATACGCTTGGGCTATTCCTCTCAAAAGATAAAACATCTGCGTCCATCAAATCCGCTTTCGAAAAGATATTTTCGGAACGTACACCCGAATCATTACAAACAGATGCAAGGAAAGAGTTTACCAATAAAGAAGTTCAAAATTTTTTGAAAAAGAGAAACGGTCACTTTTTTACTACACATAATACAATCAAAGCTTCTGTCGTAGAACGATTTAATCGAACTCTAAAAATAAAAATGTGGAAATACTTTATCGGAATGAATACATGAAAGTACATTGATGTTATAGATAAATTGATATCCCGTTTTAACCATAAATGGCATCATAGTATTAAAACAGAACCTGTATCAGTTACCTTACAAAATCAAGAAAAAGCGGAAAACGTTGTACGGTCAGCAACCAGTACAAAACCCTGTTTTTTCAGATTTAAAAATTGGAGATACAGCATGCATCAGCCAAGAAAAAATACTCTTTGAGAAAGGATACGAAAAAAACTGGACAAGAGAAATTTTTACAATCTATAAAATTATTCGACGGATTCCGGTCGTCTACAAATTGAAAGATCTAGCAGAAGTTATACAAGGAACTTTTTACAAACAAGAACTTCAAAAGGTTATTGACATAAGACTTCACTCTGGAGATTTAGTACCCTTCGAAACAGGCAAAGTATTTCCTGTGTTGCATTTTCGTCTGATGCAAATTCTATAAAAGAAGCATTCATCTGCAAATTGATTTCATTTGGATTGTGTATGCCAGATTAGAAGCATCAAACATGCGGGGGCCTTACGTGTTGCACGAAAAAATTTGAAGATTATTATTTAGCTCAAACTGGAAATGGACTACCTTACTATTAAGGAACCATTTTACAGAAAGGTTATGGTATTGGTGGATTTTTTTGCAAAGCTGTTTCGCAGTGCTATGCCTTTTTTGATGAGTGGAGCCAAAACAGTTGGAAAAGAAGCTTTGCGGACTGGAACACAAATTGCAAACGACGTATTGTCGGGAGAAAATTTTAAAGTCTCCCTCAAAACCAGATCTAAAGAAGCTGGCAAAAAAATTAGCGAGGAAAGCAGTTCAGAAAGCAGACGATGATTGGTCACGGAAGGTTTAAAAGGAAGCGCAAAACCCCCAAACACTTCATTTCGTCTAAAGCCAGGAAGGTGCAACGACGTGATATTTTTGACTCGTAATGGCTTTTCTGTTAAAAGATTCTTCAGAATGCGCAAAATCCGAATTGGATTTATTTTCGTTACCTCCCACTCAAACAGTGATAGAAAAAGGTCAGTGGGTTGAATTTCATCCATTAGCCAATGTGTCAGAAGGAAGTCCTGTTGAATTCAATGTTTCTGGAAGCGGAGACGAATACTTTGACTTATCACAGACACAACTCTATGTGAAGGTGAAAATTTTAAAAAATGATGGCAAGCCAATCACGGCTGAAAGTAAAGTGGGACCTGTCAATCTCTTTTTACATTCTATGTTTTCTCAAGTGGATATTAGCTTAAATGAAAGACTCGTTTCCACCAGTAATAACACGTTATCCCTACAGAGCCATGATAGAAAAATTACTGAATCATGGATTTGATACGAAAACTTCGCAACTTTCATCAGAATTGTTTTTTCAAAGAGATACAGCAGGACGTATGAATGTTTTTGATATTCAAGATACTCAGCCGAATGAAGGATTCAACCAACGAGTAGAATTGTTTAAACTGAGTGCCTCAGTCGATATGATTGGCCGGTTGCATTTGGATATGTTTCATCAAGAAAGACTTTTGCTGAATATGGTGGATATGAAGATTAAACTCATACGCAGCAAACCCGAATTTTGTTTCCTGGGAGATGGTGAATTTAAAGTCGTACTCGAACATGCTTCTTTGTTTGTAAGAAAAGTGAGAGTCAGCCCTGGTGTTGTGCTAGGACATGCAAAAAAGCCTAGAAAAATCAACAGCCAAATATCCCATTCAATAGAGTGCTATGCAAAGCCTATTCCATTCCCACTGGAAATATGACTTTTATTCAAGATAACATTTTCATAGGCCAAATGCCTAATCGTATTGTTGTGACTTGCGTCGATAATTATGCCTTCAATGGAAACTATAAAAAGTCTCCTTTTGAATTCAAGCATTATAATATGAACTTTATCGGCGTTTATGTAGATGGTCAACCGGTACCTCATAATCCCCTTCAGCCTAATTTTGAGAAAAACCATTTTATACGAGCTTATCAGAATTTATTTACAAATGCAGACGACCGAGGACTTTACCTTTCAAGATCAGAATTTTCAAAGGGATATTCCTTATTTCGCTTCGACCTGTCACCTGATCTTTGTGATGGCTCTCATTTAAATCTAATTCGACACAGCAACTTAAGATTAGAAATAAAATTTGACAGTCCTTTAGAACAAACTGTTACCTTATTAGTGTATGCTGAATTTGAAAATTTGATAGAAATCAATAAAGCTCGAAATATTCTGTATGATTTTGGAAACTGATGAATTCATCACAGATTCATCAAATCTTATCTCGAGATCCTATTTCTTCGAGATATTATGCGGGTATTTTCCCATCTGACAAAATACCTGTGATTCAAAATTTTCCCTGTGCACTGGTGCTGAATACGGACAAACATGATGAAAGAGGAACTCATTGGCTAGCTGTCTACCTTGCAGATCAACAGGCTCTTGAATTTTTCGACTCTTATGGACTCCCTCCTGAAGTATATGGAGAAGATATCGCATCCTTTGTCATGAAATATCGTCATGTTCGCTGGAACAAGATTTCGCTTCAAAGTTTAACTTCTAATGTCTGTGGACAATATTGTATTTATTTTATTATTAAACGATGTCAAGGACTTTGTATGGAACTCATTGTATCACTGTTAACCGGAAAGAATTATGATTTCCGAATATTTCAATTTGTCAAGAAAAGATATGGTGTAAACATGATTTTTAAGAAATAAATTTGTTTTAATTTGAAAAATTGTGTCTTGTATTTCTTTTGTGTTGTTTCTACATATATTTAAACAAAACTCGTGTAACAACAATTTAGATAACACATTTTGGGGTATAAAAGGGCTCTCCATACACAGTGTGAGCACAGTCTGTTAAACATCACGAACATGGAAAGACAAAAAATTGTTGTTGTTATTTTAGTTTTGTGGATTTTTTCAAGTATGGCCCTCCTAATTTGGACTCATCTCCAATGGACATCTAAACAAGATTTCAACTGTTTTCAAAATAAAACAACACTTGACATTTATAAAATTTATCAAAAGATTGATTCAATAGGTTTTATCAAGTGCCACGAGTTTTCCAATTTTTATTTAAATCACACACATTGCTGAGAAACAATTTGTGAATGCGTTCAAAGCTCTTTAAATGTTTTCAAAAATCACTGTTTGGAATTTACGAAAAATATTGTGGATTCAAGGAGCGAATGTCTTCTGATATCCAATATACTTAAAGGCTGTTTAGAGATTTTCTGTAAAGTTTAAAAGTCAATATTTTCTTGTTCCTGTCATTTACAAAAATGGAACTGCCCAAGTTCGTACATCCTTCTACTTGTCTTCTGAGCGGACCTACCGGTTCGGGTAAAACGGTTTTTGTGAAGAAATTGATAGATCATATAATGTTCCATCCCATGCCGACCAATATTATTTATTGCTACGGAAGTTATCAACCTCTTTTTAATTCCATGAAAAATGTAAATTTTGAAGAAGGATTACCATTTAACCTGCAGACTCTCCAAAATGCTTTAATTATCATAGACGATTTAATGTCTGAATTAGCAAGTGATACTCGCTTAAGGAAACTTTTTACAAAAGGAAGTCATCACCGAAACCTTTCAGTCATTTTTATAACGCAAAATTTTTTTCACCAAGGCAAGGAGATGAGAAATATTCATTTAAATTCCCATTACCTTGTCCTATACAAAAATCCTCGAGATAAAAGTCAAATTATGCATTTAGCTAGACAAATGTTCCCCGGAAAAGTAAAGGCCTTTCAAGAAATTTTTCAGGATGCTACTTCAACTCCATTTAGCTACTTGTTGATTGATTTACGACCTGAAACAAGTGAAACGTTTCGCCTTCGTACAGGTATCTTTCCTGGGGATAAATACTATGTTTATCAGCCTCGTTAATTCATTTCAGTTTGAGACGTCGAATGGCTTATCAGGTTCAGTGTTTCTCCTTGTTTGCTTTGGGAACATTCAAAAACCTGACTCGGAACAGGGAGCTTACTAAAGTTGTGTTCAATAAATGTGGGAAGTAGACAAGATACACAGGAAGGGTATACGAAACCCTTTATTTTCTCACTCTTTACAATGATTTCCGGACTTCGGAATACAGAGACCAACCACTTGTGGTGTGAACGTAAGAATATAAAAATATTAACTAAACTCTAACTTAACTTTGGAATAACAAACAAGGGCCTACGTGGAAGATTGGCCGTATATTAACAGGAAGCCGTATGCAGTACAGAGAACTGTTAACACTACAATACGTTTAAAATTATTACGAGGATTAAACCTCTGGCCTGGAAGTCAACCAGCAACCGAGTAAAAACTGCTAAGGCAAGCGGCCTGCTTCTACTAACTCCTTCCTCTCTCTCGCTTGGCAAAAAGCCACAATTTAAGTACTTGGCGTTCGCCAGACAAATTTGCATAAATAAGTTAAAGCTTTTAATTCTGGCCGGAAGTAGAAAATAAGAAGTGATAGTAAAGATTTAAAATAAAATAAACGTTAGTAAAACTTAAGATCCTTACATACTTCCCGCCAGAGTTAATTAGTTTGAAACTGAGGTCTAAAACGACCTTGTTGAAAACTTTTAGCTCTAGAATCTAACGCGAGGCCAATCTTTTACAAACATTTCTCACTAGAAACTAGAAATTTAAAAAAAAATTTGTTTTTACAATATCAGCTCCATGGACAATTACTTTTCATCTGTACTGCATCTAAACAGGAGCTTTTAGTTGAAATCTGGTTCCTTCCAGAGATCTGGAAGGAAAACTAGTTTAATGAAATGTTACACAATTAAATGGCAAGTCACATGGATATTTATATTTCTCCTAACATTCTTATTTCATTCATGACTTTTATTTAATTATCTCTCCCCGTGCTCTCTGACATGTGTTGTAAAAGAAAACACCAAACACGAATGTGTTTATGTATACGTGTTCAACACTGCCGCCTACAATCAAAACACTAACGTGTTAAAATTCAACATAACAAGACCTCGTAACACACCTTATCTTCATCTCTAAACCCTGAGGTACTATTCTGAAAGTGGCTAACTCTGAAGTGTAGCGTCAGAGAGCCTAACTACATTCATTCAACCTTTAACACATATTCACAATAATTTTCTCTTTTTTTCAGTCACACGAATAAGTTTAAAAATTTTTGGCATTACTTTCACTTTTACCATATCACAGTATTTCTTAACATTTAAAATAACAGTTCACATTGTATATAAGAACATATTAACATGCCGTTAATTTTACGCAATTTAAAACATACATTAGTAGTACATTGTTAACTTCTATTCTTTTCCAAGCAAGTGCCAATTCTTCTACATTGAAATACTACATTTCAAAAGTCTTTCAGACTAAAACTTCTTTCTTGCCAGAATGTTTTAAATAAAATTTATACAATAACTTTTACAATATTCAAGTATTTACACATTCCTATTATACATCAACTTTAGTTTTACTCGCGAGTAATTGAAAAACATAATACCAAAATAGGTAACAACTCATTTCTCGCCTTTTTGGCGATAAAGGTAGACCTCACATGAGGTAAAAACGTCTTGAAATCTGCCACTTGCAGTAAGAATGAAAGATTAACTTAAGTTTGCAAAGTAACATAAAATTTTACTTATCTTTGTGATATTCGGACATTCTTTTCTCTGCCCAGTCCTGGAAGGTAGCTAAGATTCGTGTTTGATTTATCCTCCTTCTTGTGCGGGCTCGGCCTTCAGTGCCTTCCTCTAGGAGCTTTCTTTTCCCTCCAGTTCGATCACCCTTGAATACCTTCTTTTTCGCCTCTGCCTGTGGTCTTGGCCGTTTGATGGCCGCTGGTCTT